GGTGAGAGAAAAGAGTTTCCTCCCCTTTATATCCCTAAGAAAATACCCCAGAAGATTCTCCAACACCCTGGGTCAGAATATAGTGGAAATGCCCATTGAGTTAATGGTACCCTGAAGTACCATCCACAACTGTGCCTAAATATAGCACAAGTCTAATTATTATCCATATGGTGGAACATAAGTCACGTCATATTTTCAATATGTGCACTAGTGCACATATCACTTTTACCTAGCAACCATGGTTTCTGTATTTCGTCGTCTGTGACGTCATTAAACAATTGAACGAGACGTCAATGAAGAACGTGTTTTACTGAACAAATGTACATAAATAAGATGGATAACAAGCATTGTCACTAAGATGACATAATCCCCTGCCACAAATTATCAAATCAAACCTATAAAGTAATGAAAGTTTAAGATGAAGTTAAATGTCAACAAAAACATTATCTTGTTCTTTAGTTGTATGAAATATGCAAAACTAGTACTAAAGAAATTGCTTATTGAAAAACATTCAAGGGAGGTCTTGAAAGTCTATGAAGAAAATCCAGTGAACCGTTCTTAAAATATCTTGCTGACAATTCAGGTTAACATTCTGAAATCTTCATAGTGTTGTCGTGACCCTAAAAATTATGTGAAGGTCACCAAAACTGACTGGGCCCTGGGCCTTCCCTAGATGAAGCTTGGTGTCAAATATGAAGAAAATCCACTGAATGCTTTTTTGGCGATATCTTGCTGACTTTCTTAACAAGCAATTTAACATGCTGAAATCTTCAAAGTGTCTCTGTGACCTTGAAAATTAAGTGAAGGTCACCAAAATTGACTGGGCCCTGCGCCTTCCCTGAATACAGCTTGGTGATAAATATGAAGAAAATCCAGTGAACGGTTCTTGAGATAGCTTAACATGCAGGTAAAACGTGAAAGTCCCCTTGTGACCTTGAAATGAAGGTCAAGGTCACCAAACCTGACTTGGACCTTTCTTGTGATGAACCTAGGTACCAAATATGAAAAGAATCTAGTGAACGGTTCTTAAGATATTCCAATTCGTACGTATGTACGGACGGACGGACGGAGCCTAATACTATATTCCCGCTTCGAGCTAAACGCGCGGCGCGGGATACTAAAGAAATTATTACACGCTCAAGTGTGCCATACGATTTATATGAAACTCGTGCAAAATTATGTATTGCCCTTGCTCTCACTCGGGCAATACACAATCTCACACTCGTTTCGTATAAATCGTATGACACACTTGCTCGTGTAATAATCTCTATATACAGCACACCAATGCCCCTTACTGTACAGTGTTACACATCTGGGGCAATGTTACTCAGTGAATAATGTTACAACAAGACAACTGTCCACCTATCTGCCCTAAGAGGGATGAGATCTATCGAAGTGTGAAAATCAACAATAGAAAACAAACAGGTAGATAACAGTTAACATAAAATAAGCTCACACCTTTAGAACAGGTACAGCTATGTCTCCAGTCCTATAAATATTTTCTAGCCTGGACGTTCTATGTTGACTCCACACCAAAACATGGATTATCTGAGTCTGACTAGTGGTTAAAGAAGTATGAGTGTCTTTGGTATCGATATCCACAATACTGCTATACACAGGGTTGAATTTAAAGGCTTCTATTCCCACCCAGGTAAAAATCAAGGGTTATTCCATCAATATGGCGATGGCAGCATGTAATAAATAATGATATTGACCAATGATCCACCCCATCAATACGATGACATGATTTCGGCCATATCAACCCAATGCACTGAGTCGCTTCATGCGACAAGCGACAAGCGTAGATGACTGGGAACCATTTGTAAACAGGGATCCCCTTGAGGACTAGCTATCAGTTTCTGATTGTTTGTACATAGTTCTATAGTACTAAAGATAAAAATTAAGGCAACAAGGACTGAATGTTGAACCGACTGAATGTTTCATTCCAAAACTGACCACCATGGACACAGTAATTACTAGAAACCAAATAACCGCCCTAAAAATGCTGACATTCCATAGTCCTGTTCAGGTAAGAAATAAAGAAGAGTGAGTGAGTTTAGTTTTACGCCGCTTTTAGCAATATTCCAGCCATGTCACGGCCTGGGACACCAGGAATGGGCTTCACACATTGTACCCATGTGGGGATCGAACCCAGGTTTTTAGAGTGATGAGCGAACGCTTTGACTACAAGGATACCCCAGCAGGAAGTAGAAGGTGCACTACTACTGGACTGACTGACTGAGTTTGGTTTTACGCGCTTTTAGCAATATTCCAGCAACATCACGGCGGGGGACACCAGAAATGGGCTTCACACATTGTACCCATGTGGGGATTCGAACCCGGGTCTTCGGCGTGACGAGAGAACGCTTTAACCACTTGGCTACCCCACCGCTTCATGACCAGGCCATACTCCTGTATCTTCCTGATATAACAATACATACTTCATCATCCATCAAGACAATATATTCAATCTCTTCTTAAACGTCCACTCTGGCTGTCCATTCTATTATGAAGAAACACCCTGGAGCCATTCATCACTGTCAATAGCCTGCAGAGATTCTCTCTAGCCCACAATGTAACTAATTCTTATTAACAATACATACATGCATATTAATTTTGTGGAAATTTATAATGCACCGAATCTGCTCCCTGAAGAATACTGAAAGCACTACATTCTTTCATTTTCAGTTCAATAGGGTTGAAGGCTGCTCATAGCGTGGTAAAAGGTTCACATGATCATTTTATCCTACTAGGTACCCATTCCCAGAACAGAGACCCATTTAGAACAGTTACTGGCCTAAGGAAGTACCAAATTTTAACAGTGTCACAGGGGTGGAAATAACTTTAAAATTGATAGTGTACTCCGGTACAGTGGCACATGTAATGTCACTTGCCCTGATAATTTTTCCACTATACCGACCGTTTTCTTGCTGATTTTTTAAATAAACCACATAATTAACATTGGAAAGTCAACTGGACACCGGTACAGTGAAATATACAAATTCGCTTGCCCGACAGAAAAAAACATTGGACTCGGACGTTGGGCAATGGGTTATTTCCACCCCTGCTGTCACAGTCTCAAGTAACAGTAGCAAATGTGTATCATCGTATTGATTATAAAAGAATCAAGATATTCCACACTTGACAATTAAAGAAAGATTATTATCAGATCACATGCAATCACTGAAATATAACAGCTTTCTTTTCATGCCAGATATTTTTTAACGAATAATTCATATTAAATGTAAAGATGATGTCAAACAAATTTCTAAAGTTTGTCACTCAACTGGCCCTGCAAACTTATCTGGTCCCATCTGCAATCTGTATTTTTTTCTTTCACCTCTTTAAATATTTGTTCGGATCGATCATACTAACATACATTCACATTGGACCAGCTGCTAACAATACAATACTGGATTTGGAATCAATGGACAACACTACCACAACCAGAATTTGTGTAATATATAGCACCGTTATCTCCTGGCATCCGACGTAGGCCCGATTAAAGTCTACATATCATTCCATTTTTTCATCTCTATGCTGTCTGTCTGTTCGTTCATCCGTCCCTCCATCCAAAGAATCTGCTGGTCTGATTCCACTTTCAGCAAATTGTTGTAGGTCTCTACAGATTAACCAAGACTGAACCAGACCAGACAAAACTGGGTTGCTGAAAAGCAATTCACACCTGGTCCCATTTTCTACAAATCCTTTCTCACATACACCTTACCTAATTTGTCGGTGATCTCTAAATGTTATATGAACATCCTTGATAGAGTGAAACAGCACAGCAGGGAGCTGCTGGTGATACATACATCACTGATTCCAGTTGGAATCACTTCTTGTAAAGGGAGACAGTATAGTTGTCGTGACACAAACATGTAAGTAGAACCAACACCTGACAACACTGTATTCCGGAGTTGGTGGTTATATATTATATTAGGTTTCATCATGATTGGGATAGAGTCATTCTGTAAATATATTAGAAAATCTGATGGGAATCCAGTCAGAACAGCTTGAGAACTTGCTATTACTAGTTGTCACCCAGTCACTCTAGAGCGACATCACTCAGGGTATATCAGTGTATGAAATAAGCCAGAAATCAGACATTTTGAAGTACCAGCCCAAAATGGATTTAACCAGACCAAATATGGTGAATTTACTCAGATGTATGGAACATCTAAAAATTTTACCAGACCATCGGCTGGCTATCTGTAAATTTAGACCGCTCGTCAAAAATCTAGACTGTTTCGGGCGGTCGGACAGGCATTTATTTCATACACTGGGGTATATGTAGCTATACAGACACAATGCCATTTAGAAAGTGGTCAAATGTAACATGTTATTTCTGGGTTTACACTATCCCAGTAAAGTACAGATTCTTGTACTTTTGTCGGGTTGAGTCCCATCCGGGATTCGAACCCACACCCTCAGAGTCAGGCACCTAATCGCCAGCACACAAAGTCAGTCGTCTTTCAGCATTATTAAATTTTTTAAAGAAAAATGTCACAGCACTATGAACAGTCAATAGGAGTGTCCCCCCTTTTGAACATTTGTGAACCTTTCATTAAATTGTCAAACAAACATGGGACATGCAGTGAAAAATATTAGTTTGGACCCTTTGCTTTTAATCTAGTTTCATTCTACTTGACTTGGTCCTTTCTACTAGTTTGTAAGTTGTTCAATGTCACACACATCAACATTACAGCTATATGATGGGAGTCAGTAAATAGTCTAGTTTGTAAGTTGTTCAATGTCACACACATCAACATTACAGCTATATGATGGGAGTCAGTAAATAGTCTAGTTTGTAAGTTGTTCAATGTCACACACATCAACATTACAGCTATGATGGGAGTGGGAGTTTGTAAGTTGTCAGCACACATCAACATTACAGCTATAATAGTCTAGTCTAGTTTGTTGTACAGTGGTTCAATGTCTAGTAAATGTCTAGTAAGTTGTTCAACACATCAACATTACAGCTATATGATGGGAGACAGTAAATAGTCTAGTTTGTAAGTTGTTCAATGTCACACACATCAACATTACAGCTATATGATGGGAGTCAGTAAATAGTCTAGTTTGTAAGTTGTTCAATGTCACACACATCAACATTACAGCTATATGATGGGAGTCAGTAAATAGTCTAGTTTGTAAGTTGTTCAATGTCACACACATCAACATTACAGCTATATGATGGGAGTCAGTAAATAGTCTAGTTTGCACCAGACAATCCTGTGACTGACATCATGAGCATCGATCTATCCAGTTGGGACACGCATCAATGTTAGTCAGTTTACATTGCATGAATCCTTTTCAATTAATCAGACTGAAAATTTCATCAATTAAACTATGTGACATGATTTATGATAAGCTTCCCCATTCTTATTGGTACCACTCATTTCCCAAATTGTATCAATTACAACCATACCAGACTGATCATTATCTAGCACTTTACCCGTAAACTTATGCTATATATTCAAGTCAAAGTATCAGATTTGGTTTTCCTGTCCTGCCTAAAAACAAACATAAACTAATGCAATTTTACTCTGAAACTGTACCCTTTTACAGTTTGAAAGTACTGTCATATATGATCAAGTATCCTTACAATTATTTTCTTGTCATTGTGTTAGTGATTACCCATCAATTTGACTGAGCTTTGATGTTGAACTGAAGTCATAAAAGTGTATGGAAGCCTGAGGTGTTTCATCAGCCCTAATAAAAATACAATATACTCGCCTCCTCAGTATCCTATCATTACGAATCACTCAATTAAAGACATCAATTTGAGAATACAGAACACTGCACCATTTCAGTACTTTAAAGGACTATCATATTTCTTGGACTCTTGGGTCACTTTGACCCCAATCTTGTACATCAAGGAAATCTGTGTATGATATCTCCCTTTCTCAATCATGAGCTGCTCTTCCAGTCCCAGGGAATACAGATTTCTCCGTCTTGCATGACAGAGTAGAAGTGTGACACTCGCAGACACAGCCCCTTCAGCGACACACCCAGTAGCCATGATTCGTCAATCAGCTTCTGGCAACAGTCAACCATCTGCTGGGGATTCACGGACTCATCCTTGGAAAGGGCAGATAACTCTAGTTCAGCCTGGCACAAATCTACAACTTCCTGTTCCTGTCGCAGACAACTGGAAAATAGGGAGAGTGTCAGTAGCTCACGTTTATATTGCATTAACTTTAGCATTCATTGTAGCAGTTTAAAATATAGACACAAAGTTATTTATAATAAGTTTTATACATCAAACTCTGTAAAATAATGAGGACCAACAATATTTATGCTGAAGGGTCGTTGGCGGCACAGGTACTACAGATATGTACACCAGGTACATTTCTGTGTACAAAAATGTACCCAAAACAAAGTCAAAATACAGAAATGTACCCTGTACCATAACAAGGAATAAATCCATATTCCTCAACCCAAACGAAACAGAGGCACAAGTACGACATTTATGCGAGACATTTATGCGCATGCTCGTTTCGTATATAATGCAATCAATGCATCTAATACAACAGTATCACAGTCCCAATCATGAATACGGCACAATGCAGAATGGACGCATCCTAGGTTATGTTTCTGTGTTCTTATTTTGACCAGGGTATGTTGAGTACACAGGATTAAATTCAATTGCAGGCTATGCTAAATTGCCTATCATCTGTCCAAGCAGTCCGAAGCTTGGTAAATCTTACTTTTCCATGTCGGTGAGGATCTTGTCAGCTTCTTGCTTGTGTTTGGCGATGTAGTCAATGAGGATGGAGCCTGGGATGGATGCTGGGACCAGGAACTGACCAGTGGGGCACAGAGCCAAGGGTCCAGACTCTCTACAATAGATGTCACATGGTCAGTCAATATCACAGATGTGAGAGGTCATTGTGGAACCAGACACCTACCCTTCCACCACCAGCTGCAGATGTGAGAGGTCATTGTGGAACCAGACACCTACCCTTCCACCACCAGCTGCAGATGTGAGAGGTCATTGTGGAACCAGACACCTACCCTTCCACCACCAGCTGCAGATGTGAGAGGTCATTCCTGGAACCAGACACCTACCCTTCCCCCACCAGCTGCAGATGTGAGAGGTCATTCTGGAACCAGACACCTACCCTTCCACCACCAGCTGCAGATGTGAGAGGTCATTGTGGAACCAGACACCTACCCTTCCACCACCAGCTGCAGATGTGAGAGGTCATTCTGGAACCAGACACCTACCCTTCCACCACCAGCTGCAGATGTGAGAGGTCATTGTGGAACCAGACACCTACCCTTCCACCACCAGCTGCAGATGTGAGAGGTCATCCACCACCAGCTGCAGGAACCAGACACCTACCCTTCCACCACCAGCTGCAGATGTGAGAGGTCATTGTGGAACCAGACACCTACCCTTCCACCACCAGCTGCAGATGTGAGAGGTCATTGTGGAACCAGACACCTACCCTTCCACCACCAGCTGCAGATGTGAGAGGTCATTGTGGAACCAGACACCTACCCTTCCACCACCAGCTGCAGATGTGAGAGGTCATTGTGGAACCAGACACCTACCCTTCCACCACCAGCTGCAGATGTGAGAGGTCATTGTGGAACCAGACACCTACCCTTCCAACCACCAGCTGCAGATGTGAGAGGTCATTGTGGAACCAGACACCTACCCTTCCACCACCAGCTGCAGATGTGATGTGAGGAGGTCATTGTGGAACCAGACACCTACCCTTCCACCACCAGCTGCAGATGTGAGACTACCCTTCCTGGAACCAGACACCCTGTGGAACCAGACACCTTCAACCACCAGCTGCAGATGTGAGAGGTCATTCTGGAACCAGACAGCCAGATGTGGAATCAGACACCTACCCTTCAACCACCAGCTGCAGATGTGAGAGGTCATTGTGGAACCAGACACCTACCCTTCCAACCACCAGCTGCAGATGTGAGAGGACGCCGTGGAACCAGACACCTACCCTTCCACCACCAGCTGCAGATGTGAGAGGGTCATTGTGGAACCAGACACCTACCCTTCCACCACCAGCTGCAGATGTACCCAGAGAGGACGAGTGGAACCAGACACATACCCTTCAACCACCAACTGCAGATGTGAGACAACGCCGTGGAATCAGACACCTACCCTTCAACCACCAGCTGCAGATGTGAGACAACGCCGTGGAACCAGACACCTACCCTTCAACCACCAGCTGCAGATGTGAGACAACGCCGTGGAATCAGACACCTACCCTTCAACCACCAGCTGCAGATGTGAGAGGTTCTTTTGCAACAGCTTCGTCCTAGCAGCATCCTGACACCGACGGAGGGAGTTGAGGAGCTTGTTGAGCAACAACTCATATTCTTCGGCCATCACCAGGTGATGTCTCCGTTTCCGGCGCACAATCTGGATGTTGTTCAGGAGCTGAGACAGCTTATCCTCCATCAGCGGCAACCTCTCCAACACCGCCTCATACGATCTCACCGACATCAACAGCTGGGTTAAAACAAGGAGGTGTTTTTAATGTAAGTGGATCATTCACAATACATGATTAAAAAAATGATGGATTTATTGTTACAAAAATAATACATACAATATTTGCTAACATTGTTAGTATACTCATACTACTGACTTATAGCATAATAAAACCATAGCTGACAAATAGAGACAAAAAGCCTTTGACCATATCTAAGATTTTATATACAGCCAAACTAAACTGAGTCAAGGTTGAAAGAATCTTGTGAGTGAGTGAGTGAGTTTAGTTTTACACTGCACTCATCAAAATTCCAGTTATATGGCAGTGGTTTGTAAATAATCGAGTCTGGACCAGACAATCCAGTGATCATCAGCATGAGCATCGATCTGCACAATAGGGAAACGATGACATGTGGCAACCAAGTCCGCAGGCCTGACCAACCAATCCCATCAGTCGAGTCTTATGACAAGCATTGGATACTGAAGACCAATTCTAAGTGATGTAAGTAACTACTTATGTTATCAGAGGTTCAAAACAACTGCAAAATGACGGCAAAATAAGGGATACTCGGGAACCAAGCTTTTACTTTATGACACTGTAAGTTTGAAACATCAGTGTTTGACTGTATTCTATATCAGATATTCTGACCAAGTCTAACCGTCATCCAGTAGGTAGGGACATCTTCACTGCTGAGGACAATCTCTCCATGGACTGATACACCCGTACTGTTACTGAACACCAGAGAACGTCCTGTACAACACAAAATAGCATTGAGAAACTGTAAAAGAATAAAAACAAACAAGTGAAATATAAACCTTAATTCATGTGCATAAGATATACAAGACAGGCCAGTCAAACAAACATATCACACTAGACATTACATTCTGATGATTTATTGAAGATCAGAAAAACAAATAAATTATTTATTTATTATTTCAGGATTGATCTGAATGCCTCGAACATGCACTGACCTTTGAGAATACCCCCAACTCTTTCTGGGTGTTCGGTATAAAGTCTGTAGAAACTTTTGACACATCCCCTGAAATGGCTGAATCCCCACACACTCTCCCAGCGGATGTTGGACAGCCCTATGGAGCCCTGGAGAGCGCTGCAGATCCTGTTAATGTCCTCTTTTGTAGACTGACTAGAATCCAGGAAACTTCGAGATCTCTCTATATTTTTCAACAACCATGACCTGAAATATTGAGTATGTTGAAGGTTTGGATTCTGCAAGACTTATCAACTCTTCAAGATATGCTGTTTCCTTTTTTCTAATAATCTTTTTATAGGAAACAAACTCCCTATGTCTAACTAATATCAGGACGTATTTTTCATTACGGTCACTATTTTGGTGTCGCACCATGTCGACACACAAATGACACAATATGCTAACAAGCATTGTCTATAAAACAATGGAAGACAAACACTTTCTTGATTGGCATTTTAGAAGATTCTGTTTGATGAACATAGAGATTTTTCTGGGTTACATCTTCTTCATATTCTTGAGTACAACGTTTCAGGGCTTGTTCTGGTCACATCATCAGTTTTACCTGATGATGGGGCCAAAACAGCCCTGAAACGTACTCAAGAATAAAAAGAAGATGTAACCCAGAAAATCTCTATGTTCATTAAACACTTTCTTATTGCAAATGGGTAGCCTAGTGGTTAAAGCGTTCGCTCGTCACGCCGAAGACCCGGGTTCGAATCCCCACATGTGCACAATGTGTGAAGCCCATTTCTGGTGTCCCCCGCCGTGATCTTGCTGGAATATTGCTAAAAGCGGCGTAAAACCAAACTCAGTCAGTCAGTCTCATTGCAAATGTAGAAACTGAGCAAATGCTTGTAATGTTTTTCTTTCTGAATTGTTTTATAAACAAGGTATATAAATTGGCATTGGTTTTGTTTTTTTGGTGGGAAATAAAACACTGATGTTAGGAGCACTGTCTGTAGCTCAGTCTTCAGTGTATATTTGTAGAGAATGTAGGCATAAACCAACAGTTTTAGTATTTAACAACAGTTGCAGTTGTATGTGTCCATATTGAGGGACACATAAAACCACAAATACCTGCTACAACAATGGTTTCTGGCCAACTGGTTTCCGTCAAAAAGATAGAGAAACAAACTGACAGTTGATAGAAAACAGCTATCTGAATGCGATGTGGCTAATGTGTACTGTGACTTTCATTAACTCATATACAACAGGCAGCTTTTTGCTTCGTAGTGGAGTGTATGCAATTTATTGTCTCGGTCAGAAATCCATGTGTAAATGGCAGGATATCGAGATCATTTGAGCCCAATCAGATATCAACATGGGATGGTGGGATAGCTTACTGTTAAAGCGTTTGCTCGTCATATCAAAGACTCGGGTTCGGTTCCCAACATGGGTACTATGTGTGAAGCCCATTCTGGTATTCCCGCTGGAATATTGCTAAAAGCGGCATAAAACTGAACTCACTCACTCAGAAATCAACATTCTGACATAGAGGTGAGGTAAGTGAGGCAGAGCTCCAGATAAGATTTAGCTCATGTGGGTACTGTACCCACTGTATTTTGTTGGAGTGGGTATTATGAATGTTGAGTGAGTATTTCATTTTCCGTTACCCACTGCTTTCAAATATGTGCGTATTTCAGTCATTTTACTCACCTAAGTATTATGTCATTGAGTAAGTTTACTAAGCAGGTATGTTCTGCCTTATGTCATACCTAATCAAAACCAACTTAAATATAATGGAAATGATTTCATAAAAAATCACTCATCCTATACTGAAAGTACAACACCTGTCCTATACTAACAGTACAACTTGATAGCTATCGATGTCTTTTTCATTACGCTAGCGATTTTTAGAAATATATTCTGTACGCATTTGTTTTAAACTTTTTGCGTATCTAACATTTTAAATGCGTTATTGGTACGCAACAATTATTTTTCAATGCGTAATGTAAATTTTCAATGCGTATTTTACCCGGATACGCAGCTTATCTGGGCCTCTGGTGAGGTGAGGTGAAATTGAGTTTTACGTTGTGCTTGAGAATATTTCGCCCATATGACGACGTGCATGCGTGTGTATGTGTATGTGCGGCTGCTTGTACTAGCCCAGACTGTAGCTGGTTTTATAGTGCAAGCCCACTGAGATACCATGCCGCAGTGAAGCATGAATACCCCACTCAGGCACATTATACTGACTCCAGTCGACCAGTCCTTGTTGTACCCATTAATGCCGAGCACCAGGCAGGGACCAACAAGTACCATATTTTAATGTCTTTTGGTATGACGCGGTCAGGGATCGAACCTGCGACCTTCCGCTCTCCGAGGTAAGGTAAGTAACTTTTACTGTTTTTGAGAACAGTCGAAGAGATTGACCATGTTGGCATATATTGCTAATATATACCCGAACTGACACAAGACAATTATAATAATAACAATGCTAAATAAATCCTAGTTTGTTTACAAGTGGAATATACAAAAGATTTAACCTGAGAGTGATATTGACAGAACTTGGAGGTCTTTCCCTGGGATCTGGTTTCCCTGTTGCTGCATAGTAGACGGATGCCAGTCGATTGGTCGGTCAGTCTGACCACTGGCTGAGGAGGTTTTGAGCGGCACGGAGCTGATGTAGTCCAGGGGGAGATGGAAAGAGCTGAGAATTGTTTTAACTGTGTCTCGTACATCACGTGATGCCAACGAAACGTTCACACTTTGAAGAGCAGCTGAAACAGAAGAACTGTATCAATGAGATGACATTGTGGAGCAGTCAAAAAAGGGTAGGGTTGGAATATGTCAGGATTGGTCTTAGCACTATCGTATATTGCTGACACTTCCATGTGTAACTTTCTTAATGCCCTAACATCCCCCTTTCAGTCGTCCTACATTTTGGCGACCCTCCATCTTCCTTTGTGCCATTTTGTCATGCCCAACTCCTGACTCATCACCCACACGCACCTATGATAAATTACCAGCCCCTACTATTTCTCTATTGATCAATTGATCATAGGCGGATTTCAGGGAGATTGTAAAACCCCTTGAACACACACACACCCACCCACCCCCCACCCTCCCTCAGCTCCGCCAAAGTAAAACATTAACTTTCAATGAGGTCTTCAGTCATTTTCAAAAGGGGGGTTTCGAACCCCCTAAACCCGCCTTGGATCCGCCAATGTTGATGTTTCTGTTTCTCAAACTGACTGCTACTTTTGTTTCTCTGTTGAAAGCTGTATTTTAAATATATTCCTGCAACTTACATTTCTCTGTTGAAAGCTGTATTTTAAATATATTCTTGCTACATCGTTTCTCTGTTGAAAGCTGTATTTTAAATATATTCCTCTACGTACGTTTCTCTGTTGAAAGCTGTTCATTAAACATATGCCTGTTACGTACGTTTCTCTGTTGAAAGTTGCTGTGGGCGAAAGAAGAACTGAAGGACAGTCGGGTGAGCTGACCCTGACCTCTGTAGACATGTGATATACTCATGTAATCGCTTCAAAGACTCCTCGTTCACAGACTGTAAACAATAAACATAGAGTGTTAATTGGTCCTGCTAAAATAGGATATCATTCTCTGATGACACACCTATCTACAAGAAGATTTAAAGATTGGTTGCATCAAGTGAACTTTGTAATCAGCCAATCAGTAACCAAGGATTATAAATTGTAGAAATGAGTGAGGGCAATGGTACAAGAATCTGTAACGAAACGTCGCACTCACGCAATAAAAGAAGTTGTTGTCCATAGAGTTGGTTCAATATTGTACGTCCCAACTTCTAAAATGCCACTCAAACAAAATATGAATGAGGTAAGCATTCAGACAATCATATCTGATTTTGTTATTTGAAAATGAACATAATAGGTAAGTTCAAAATGTAAAAACATAAAGCAGTGCTATTATATCATTGCGGATATTTCATGTCAAGGATACAGTTTGTTCTGTGGCAGATTTATTTTGCTCAGATCAAAGTTTTCAAAATAAGATGGTATAAAATGAAGCCAAATCATTTAGAAAGCTGACAACTCATTGACTTTAGCACATGTCCCTTCTATATTTGATTTGGTCGATAAAATAACACTCATGGTTCATCTGATGTGACTGTATATGGAAGTGTTGTCACATCATAAAGGAAAGAGGCATCATTAGAGTAACAGTCAAATTTTCATAAGATTTAATTTTATATTTAAATTTAAATTCACCTGTAAATGCAAGGAGGCTGCCATTTCCTGCACTCAGATCAACATATTGTTAAATATTCATTTGTCAATAAAGTACTTGTACATGTATTTTCATTTTGTGAACATCATCAAACCCTTTTTTCCCCATACATACCCGCTCCCTTGGATATTTTCCAAACAGATCTGGATGCACAACAAAATAGAATGGACGTAGAGCAGTAGCTGTCTCCTGCACGTTGAGATGCCGCACCGAGACATGAACATGCTGAGTCAGCCTACTGTGTGCAATCCATCTGACAAAGGTAATATGTAATAATAACAATATGGTAATCATGGTAATACTGTATCACAATATAGTCATACTGCACAATAATTTGGTAATAGTATATCACAATATAGTAATTGTGTATTACAAAGAGTCAGACACCTACCCTTCCACCACCAGCTGCAGATGTGAGATAGGATAATTAGGATTGGTTGTATTTTCAGTGTTAAAGCCTATTCACCACTATCATCTTACGTTCTTCAGTCTCATGAGTTACTGTCTGAATGTAATTGCAGTTCATGGGTGGCATTCGCGCCTAGAAAAGCGACCTCGTCGATATTATACAGCTGTAGCCTTTTGGGAAAAAGTGGATGGACATACTACCCGTGTCACGATTGAAGTGACTTGAGTGCAGTTAACATATAAGGTGTCTGGGAAAAGGGTGTTTCTTGATCCTATCGAGGCAAATGTTCAGACCGATGATACACGGGAATACGGGTCAACATTTCAAAGACAAACCTTGACCTATAAAGTGTGAGTTTTTCGAAGAGAAACACTAGTCAACTTTATCAAAAAGTGTTAATATATCAATGCAATTCGATGATGTGTTTACGGATAAACGTGAAAGAATGCACGTTAAAAAACCCAAAACAAGCTGGAAAGTGGGTGAAAACTGAGGGCCTTGAAGTCAAGCGAAATGCGATAACAATGCTAAGGCAGTTAAACTTACGAACCTTGCTCCCGTTAGTGAGACTTTCAACATACTTGAACCTGGTAATTCTGGATGGCATATTTACAACCTGACCTTGCCATTTGCAACAAACAAAACAATAAGTTTCCAACAGAAATGCACAATCCAAGGGACATAACTCTCAGTCTTGATGTCTTGAGGATGCCCGCTATTTATTTTCTACCCGTTTTCCCCGCCGTGGTGATCTCGTCAAGTAGACATTCATCTCCATAAGTGTATATCTCGAGACCTGGAAATAATAATTTTCTTCTTTTCGTGTTTTGCTGAATCTCACAAAGTGTCCCAATTTAAAAAAAACACAAGGGTTGCTGAAAATTCGAAATTGTAAAATGTAGTAAGTTCGGAGAGATTAAGGTTTTGCTTTAGCAATATTCGAGCAGTATTACGGTGGGAACAGCAGAAATGGACTTCACATAGTGGGGAGTCGAACCCGAGCGAACGCTTTAGCTGCTGGGATACCACACCATCCCATTAACATTTACAGACCACCGCCATTTAGCTGGAACATAACAACAAACAACAAACAAATAAACATTTGCAGAACGGCAGCTGGTTTTTTTTAAGATTACAAAACTGATTGTAGTTGCGTGTCAAATCCAATTTTTAGTGTATACTTCCTTTTCTCTCTCTCTCTCTCTCTCTCTCTCTCTCTCTCTCTCTCTATCTCTCTCTCTCTATCTCTCTCTCTCTCTCTCTCGCTCAGACATTACATACAAGCACATTAATTAATAATAAGCACATGCATAATAATTAATAATAATAATATAAATTTAATTAGGAGTTCATGCAAAAAGTGAAAAACATTAACGTAGTCCATTTTATGTTTTACGTAACACCGCTGAATATTAAATTCTGGTGACATTTCATGAGAAAAAAATGCAATACTCATATTATCATGAACTCATGCAGTGTAAAATAACCTAAGAGGCGCATGGTATTCCAGCAATATCACGGCGGGGACACCAGAAATGGGCTTCACACATTGTACCCATGTGGGTCATCGAACCCGGGTCTTCGGAGTGACGAGTGAACGCATTACCCACTAGGCTACCCCACCGCTCCGGATATTGGTATAAAGGCACGTGCATGACTGAGGCATAAATACCGATGTTGGACAGAGTAAACGTGCAGTAGCCAAAACACCACCACGAATATGCCAAGATTTACGCAGCGCAACGAGATAGGCCGACCGTTGTCGCCAATATGGGGCCTTCAAAACGTCAGCTGGCTAGAGCCTTCAACTACAGCCAGGCCACCATCAGCAAATTGATAAACCGCTACCAGCAAACAGACCAGACCCAAGACCGCCCAAGATCGGGAAGACCAAGAGTCACGACACCGGCCGAAGACCGCTACATCCGGCAGATCCACCTCCTCTCCGGAACAGATTCATGACGGCAACGTCAACGGCGGTAACAGCACTCAGCAGACGCGTCTACCGCCCTTTCCATGAATGGCTTTGATCCGTCTACACCGTCAACGCAGACTGCAATGGACACGAACTGTACGTCGGTGGCAGCGACATGACTGGGAAAGAATGCTCTTTACAGATGAAAGTCTCTTCAGAAAAGACGTAGAGGAGAACGACTGTCTCTAAACTGCGTTCAAGACGTTCATCCGTTCGTTGGGGCCGTGGGGTAGCATGGTATTGGGCGGCATTTGTGGCCAGAGACTGGTTATCATCCGAAGAAATCTGATGTTCAGCGACACAGGGATGAAGAGATATTTGTGGTGCCCTTTATTCGACAACAGCCAAGCGGAGTCATTTTGCAGCACGACAACGCAAGGCCTCACACCGCCAGAATTGTTCGAGAATACCTGCACAACGTCAACGTCAACGTATTGCCTAGGCCAACGCGTTCTCCAGACATGAACTCATTGAACATCTCTGGGATCATCTTGATCGACAGCTGAGAGTGTGCACCACCTCCAGCGAACCGACAGAAACTTGAACAGGCTCCTGCTGACGTCATCCGCCGACTGACGACGTCAACCAGGAGACGTGTATTGGTGTGTGTGGATGCCAAAGGTGGTCTCACTCGCTATTTGTGACGTGTCTCCTGACTTCTGTCTCACAATGTGACTCTTTATGCACTTATTGAATGAACTCTGATTTCTGTAAATTGTAATTTTGACCCATTGACACTTTCTTAATGAATTGCGGCAAATGCAAGACCGGCATTACAATGAATTTTCAGTCAATTATTGGAAAATAATTTCTGTTTGTGAAATAATTATTATAAATCTCACATACGTCTTTGTTTCTATTTTTTGGTTTGTTGTTTAACGCCACACTCAGCAATATTCCACCTATATAGCAGCGGTCTGTAACTTATTAAGTCGAGGCTAGACATTCAAGTGATCCACATCATGAGTAGCTAACTGATCTTTTTACGATTACAAAAATGTTTGTAATTGCTTTTTCAAATCCATTTTAGTGTATCCTTCAGTATTCAATATAATTCTAAGAACAGTCTCCAATAAGGTTAGAATAGGTCCTAGAGTCCTTATTGGACGTTGGCAGGAACGGAATGGATCGGGTGGTCAAGGTCAAGAGACTTGATTTATTGCGTCATTGTATTCCGAGGATTCGATCCCCGATCGCGTCATATGCAAACGACGTTAAAAATATGGAACTTGTTGTCCCTGCCCGGCGTTCGGCATTAATGGGTACAACAAGGACTGGTCGACTGGAGTCAGTATAATGTAGTGGGGTATTCATGCTTCACTGCGGCATGGTATCTCAGTGGGCTATTCTATAACGACCAATGTCCTTCCATTGATGGGTGAGGTGAGGTGAAATTGGGTTTAACGTCGTGCTTGAGAATATTTCGCTCATATGCGTGTATGTGTATGTGCGGCTGCTTGTACTAGCCCAGACTGAAGCTGGTTTTATAGTGCTAGCTCACTGAGATACCATGCCGCAGTGAAGCATGAATACCCCACTCAGACACATTATACTGACTCCGAGCCGACCAGGCCTTGTTGTACCCATTAATGCCGAGCGCCAGGCAGGGACCAACAAGTACCATATTTTAACGTCTTTTGGTATGATCGAACCCGCAACCTTCCGCTCTCCGGACGGACGCTCTAACCACTACACCACGGAGGCGGTCAAACAATGGATGTATGGTTTTTGGTGTTATTGTCATTTCAAAAGTATGGCGTCTATCTACTGACCATTAAGCGTTGAGAACCACTGGAAGTGTCAATGTAAAAGTATCATTATATTCGAGACCCGTGAAGATCCGGGTTAGAATTGGTCTTCAGCAACCTTATTCTAATTTAAGACCAATTCTAACTGTCTTCAGCAACCCAACCTGTGAAGATCCGGGTTAGAATTGGTCTTCCTTATTCTAATTTAAGACCAATTCTAACTGTCTTCAGCAACCCAACCTGTGAAGATCCGGGTTAGAATTGGTCTTCCTTATTCTAATTTAAGACCAATTCTAACTGTCTTCAGCAACCCAACCTGTGAAGATCCGGGTTAGAATTGGTCTTCACAAACCGATGCCTGTAAGAGATCATCATGCTGTTGATCATTGGATTGTCTTGTCCGGACGATTATTTATAGACTGCCGCCATATAGCTGGAATATTACTGAGTGCGGCGTAAAACAACAAACAAACCAAACTTCAGCAACCAATGTTCTTCGTCCACTAACCATTCAGCTTTGCGAATCGCTTGATGTGTCAAAATAAAAACTCATTATATTCGATCCTTCAGATGTTATTGCAGTTAACTGTGGATCCTGACAAGGCCATTGAGTACATTGTTTGTGTATATATATATCAATCACATTCGAAAATGACCACCTATAGTAGTTTTATAACCATGTTATTCCGGAGTCACAAAAGAAATGGACCTCACACATTGTGCCCATGTCGTGAATCGACCTTGGTCCCTCTGTATGTCAAACAATACCTTCAACCACGCGGCTGCCAAACTACGTCCTTAAGTACGAATACACATTACGGGTTATATTCGGAACTGACAATAACATGTTCTTGGCGAGAGATTACACACATGATCAAATACGAATCATTTAGGTATTGTGACTATTGTCCAGTCGAATAAGATTTGTGCCCCGGGAGCTAGTGCTTGACACATAGTGTTTAGTGAATTAGAAATAACGTGTTTTCTCTTTGCACTGTACACAACGACGTCTTGAACGACAACTGGATCTGAATGAATGCGTTGCTCGGGATCGTTAATCCTTTGTTGTTTTTGACGTTGTTGTTGTTGTTGTTGTCCAGTACATGGGGGTAATCACCGGAACTAGGAAACGCCCCCATACCTTTTGCGGGTTTCATGAGAGGTTCAATGAGGTCTTCAAGGAGCTGAATTCAACGTCGGTTGGTTGTTTGTTTAACGCCGCACTCAGAAATATTCCAGCTATATGGCAGCGGTCCGTAAAATGAAATAATCGAGTCTGGATCAGACAATCCAGTGATCAACATCATGAGCATCGATCTAGGCAACTGTGATATGATGACAAGTGTCAACCAAGTCTGAACCTGTTCACCCGATCCCGTTAGTCCCGTTCAAGGTCGGGTTAAAAATTACACTTAGTACAGTGCATGCATGTGTGAGTACCTGCGTGTTTCTGCTTATGCACAGTTGAGCATGGTTATCTTACCCAAACACTGTCCTCTGACTCCCAGCCAATCTTGTTTTATCATGCCGATTACCAGGCACGGTAACAACAAATACAATAATTTTCGTTTCTCAGTATGATTTGGGCAGACTTGAACGTTGAGAAGCCTAAAACCGATTCCATTATACAGACTCTTACTGTTGGTAAATACCTTTCTTGTCTGTATTAATAAAAAAATGTTCCATATAACAGAAGTATGAAGAAAAAAGAACAAGTGTTATTGGTAACAATCGTATATTTAATTCAACAAATAGACAGACTATCACTGTCTGACACTGAAGTGTTATTGCCTAACCGTCAAGGTGTGTTTCAGTTAATCTGACAGCATGATACAGCCATAAGGATCCTCATTGATAATGTAAATCATCTTTTCCAAACTTTTAAGTTGCTTGTGTTCCAGTATCAAATGTTCAGATATCCTGATATCTCAAATCTCATCATCAAGAAATATCTGTACCAGGAACCTCTATATCCAGATTTCTTTGAAACTGAGCACTTGTTTTTACTTAACTTTACAGTATGATTCAGTGACAACAATTGGCCATGAAAATTGTCTGTTAAAAAATTCCAAGCTGCAGCTATACCAGTGTCAAAATGTCTAGATATCCAGTTATCTTTAAACCCGAGTCCTTCTTAATTTTATACTGATATCTCAATAACATTCTCAGTTTGTTGTGTAGTACATAATATACACAAGCTTACTCAAGGCACTTCATCTGGCTGACAAGCCCATTTAGCACTGTTAGCTTGTATTCATACTAGTGTTGGGAATTGGTTAAAATCTCATAACTGATGATTGGTTCATGCTAACCGATCAATCATCAAAAATAATTGGTTTGCGTCATTTATGATATTGTCCTGGTTATTTTTGTTAATGCACCAAAAAATGTGAAGAAACATGTAGTTCTTTGGGTTTTTTAGCAAACTGCTCAAAATGCATTTGCAAATTTCACATCTTTAAAGGATGACTAGTATGTTAAGAACTTAAATTTCTTGGAGTCTTTAAGATAGATTTAATCATGACTTGGAACGAGCTTGTGGTGCTTTTGAAATGTAACAGACAAAACCAACCTTGTGAAAAATATTGGTGATGAAAACAAGTGTTCCAGAATTGTTTGTGTTTGATTATGAGAAAACATGATAGATTGCTTGGTCGTTTAGTCATTGCGACCAATCTTCGATTATTTCAATTAATCGAACCACCACTAATACATACTAATCAATGATACTGTGATCAAAGAGCTAACAGCTAGGTAGTTATTCCTGATATTAGGTAGCTATAGCTTTTATTCCTTTAACAATTGGTTCCATGCAGTGTAGGGAATAATTGTCACTAAACAACTTATCAGCTAAGGAACCTGGCTGCACCAGTATTTAACGGTGTTGTGCCGGGAAGGCTAAAATTTATTTTTCAGATGTTCCGGGAAGGCTAAAATGTATATTTCGGATTTCCCGGGAGAGCTAATTTCCAAGGGAGTAGGGGAGTACCGCCAAAGCTAAAGATACGGTGCCGGGAAGCATAATCCATGTCGGGAGTAGATTTGGGGGGTTTAACGTTGGCTTCTGGCTAAGCCTATATCGCGATTTATTTCTGCAACGTGAGAACTTTATATAAGTGGCGATTTTATTTCAAATGTATTTAATTATAAAAAACATTAGAATAATAGTCACTAGGCATAATCCATGAGTAGATAGATTTCTTTTCAAATCATTGTTATAACCTTCGCTTGTTTACGGTTCGGGTTTCGAAAGGGGTACTCTACTTTAGATAATATTTTTGTTTTTAATGGATTAATTGATATACTTAAATCTAAGAAGAAAAAGTTATATAGTGTTTTTGTAGACTTTCAAAAAGCCTTTGATAATGTCTGGCGTGTGAGACTTTGGCAAATAATTGTTAAACACGGAATTACTGGGTAAGTTTAAAAGCTTATTTATAATATGTATGATAATACCAAGTGTTTCAACAGGTGGAAATGACTCTACCTATTTTGACTGTTGTAAAGGCATACGCCAGGGAAAAAATTTATCACCTCTCCTTTTTTCACTGTTTATTAATGACGTTGAATCATATCTAGCGACTAATGCCTGTGATGATGTAGAAATTGAGGATATATTTGGATTTGTTAAGATTTTTGTACTGATGTATGCTGATGACATGGTCTCATTTGAGTCCGGATGAGTTACAGCATACTATTAATATTGTGTGAAGTGGAAGTTAAAATTATATATCGAAAAGACTAAAGTAGTCGTATTTGGCTCTGGAACTGCAAAAGTTAATTTTCAAAAAAATTATCTTAGGTGATGTACCTTTGAGCATGTCTGATACTTATACTTACCTTGGAATACATTTTCATAAGAATTTCTTTTCAAAACATTGCTATAATGGTATATTTAGGTTGCAGTTAAGTAGATTGACAGAAATGTGTTTTTCCATGGAAAATGATAATTTAATGTCGAATTAAAGACAATGCATAATGAAGAATAGACATGAAAATGGGTAAATAGCTGTATTTATATTTGTATGTGTGCCCACATGAAAGAGCATCCACGTTAATCCTGTTTTCTTTGTAATTTGTCAGAGCCTCCGAGTGAGGAGCACCGTGTTCATTCAGCCATAACATTGCATTGCAAGTACCGTGAAGGCTACGCTCATTGAACCGAGAAGCGTCGCGATTTTAGCCTTCCCGGACATGAACCTATTTAACAGATTGGAGTCAGTGATTTGTATTTAATGCTGCTTAAAGTGTATTCCAGTTTTCACGGATTGTCAGATTAATATGGGAAGAAAACCTGAAGTGACACCGGCTCCGATTTTTACCACATAAACCGTAAACCCACAAGCACAGGTATGGTGCTGACAAATATAATCAGCGGGAATCAGTATTCATTGTATTCTGGCATGCCAAAGGGAGGCAACTCTGCATGTTTAACTTAAGCACCATAGCCAACATGGCCTCTTGAGATCCAGTTGTTTTTGCAAATGCAATTTCCTCTATTTCATACATAAACTCAAATTGTAATGGTTACCTGGTTATTTGCATTCAACAATATTTGATTCTAATGTGAAGATATCAATCATATAATCCCATACCCACACTGAGCTCAAGCTCTACATTCAACCCGTTAGTCAATAATAGCAGCAAGTAGACATGAGTGAGTGAGTATGGTTTTACGCCACTTTTAGCAATATTCTAGAAATATCACAGTGGAGTACATCAGAAATGAGCTTCACATATTGTACCCATGTGGGGAATCAAACCGGGTCTTCAGCGTGACGAGCAAAAGCGAACGCTTTCACCACAAGGCTACCCCCATCGCCCCAAAGTAGACACTAAGATCTGTACACAAATGTTCAGTACGTCATCTGCGAGAGGAAATCTGCCAGACTGTTTTTCTGCTGATTCGGGGGTTTAACCGCCTTCTGTTCCTGCAGCATCTTCTCCAGCTGCTGATGCCTGTCCCTCCCCTTCTTCTTCTTCTTCTTGGTCACACCCCCTGACTTGACCCCCATGGATGCAAGCAAGGCTAACACAGATGAAGATTTGTCTGCACTGGGAGCCTGTCGGCAGTCTTTTTTCTTTAAATTGGAGGACTTTGAAACCTGAGATGAGGATCCGTCTTCTGTTCCACTGTCTGGAGCTGCTATCGTGGTGCTGCAAAATAATGATAGTAATACGTACTAAGCATCTTTTGACAGGGGTTTTCGTTTAAACTATAGTCCGTTTGGCTCAAAAGCAGACCGATGAATTGCAATCTAACTCGAAAACTTATAAACATAAAATACTCAATGAAACACTGATCATAATGAAAACGTCAGACCAACTCTGAGAGGTGTTTGCAGAATATCGACACAGTTCGACACAGTTCACTATTTGTTACGAGGGAGGAGTGCAGAGAAAGGGACAGCCGGGTGTGCGAGAAAGGATGGAGACGGCACAGCACAGGTTAATGAATCAATAACTTTGTCGGCACTTGTGCACGTGCTTCTCTAACACCTGGCTGTCCCTTTCTCTGCACTCCTCCCTCGTAACAAATAGTGAATTGTGTCAATATTTTAATGATAGTTTGTTAAACAACTTTTAAATTTTAGGACATAAATTCTGCAAACAAATCACAGAGTTGGTCTGATATTTTGATTATGATCAGCGTTTTATTGAGTATTATATGTTTATTAGTTTTTGAGTTAGATTGCAATTCATGGGTCCGCTTTTGAGCCAAACGCACTATAGATCTTATAAACTTAACAATGTTGACAAAGCAGTTGTGTTTTGTTTACTATATTCACATTTTTGTCTTCAAACAAGTAAAATAATGGTGAATGTAAGAGTTGAAGTAAATCAAATTATTGGACTGTGCACAAGAATTTTTCCTCTGTGATGAATATGTCTGTGTGTGAAGATCTTCTTCAGTGTGGTGTGAGAAGCGCTCACTTTAACCACTAGGCTACCCCAGCAGCATATACAAACAAAGCTGTCTTAGTGCTAAGATTAGCGTAAAAGGCCTCGTAGCTCATAAATCTTAGCTAAGACTATTCTTAAAGCTGTCTCAGAGGTAAAATTGACAGAAACTAGTCATAGCAAACTTTATCTTACCTATGTCTATTTGCAAAGCTGTCTGAATGAAAAGATTGACATAATGGTGTCACAGTGAAATATGTCTTGGTTAAATCTATTCTTAGGCAATCTTAGCACTAAGTTATCATAATTTATGGCTAGGGTGGTGATGATGATTTTAAGGGGGGGGGTCACCCATTTTGTTCTGGGGAGGGTAGAGGGTCATCACATGAATTTGGTACACATGAACTAGGGGGTCAGAAATTTTGTGCATAATGCTTGTTTTAAAATCATGCTAAAAAAAATTAGGGGTCATTGATTTTGCACATGACATGGGGTGGTGGTGGTGTTTCATTCACATTGTACATGCTACCCCATAAAAATCAGCAACAGCAGCAGCAGCAGCAACCCCAACCCCCACCCCACCCCCATCCTATATATTATGTTCGGTCCAATACCACAGGCAGGCTAAAGATATACTGACCAAAAAAATGATTCCATAGTATGGTTTTTCTGTATCAGACCACAAAACTAAGACGTTTCCAACTGCACTTTGAAAACAATAACAATAGATTTTAACCATCACTGGAAAACCCTGCATTTCCTGAAAAACGCTTAACACCAAAGTCATGACTAATGATTGTTTATCAATAAAGGATTTCCTTCGCACATCTGCAGAAGGATGTTTGTTCATTGTGTTTGATGATATCTATTTGTCTTTGTTGCCATATCAATATGATGCATCCATATCCTTTTGCTAGGTTTGATATAAAAAGGAAATCCTGAACACATAACCATTAAACATACATGCATCCAGAATATTTGTGTGTTCTTTCTTTATTTCCTTTGTGAGGAGACATGGAAAAAGGTGTATCGGAATATATATTCATCTATACTCTATATATTCTATCAATATCTATGATAAATGACCAATTGCTCTGTTGGTAGTGAGTGAGTGGGCTTCACACCTTGTACCCATGTGCGGAATCGAACCCAGGTTTTCAGCATGACGAGCGAACGTTTTAACTACTGAACTACCCCAACGCCCCTCTCTGTTGGTAAGATTTGTCTAAGGTTTTATTTATTATTATTATAGGATATTTATATAGCGCACATATCCAGGCAACTAGTGCCTGTTCAAGGCGCTGGTATTTTTGACAGTTTGAAGAACAGGCCATGTCAAGAACAAGTGTGTTGCAGTTGCTACAGAAACTCACATCCAGAGAAACAAATAATCATAATAATAATCCTAATAATAACAAGAAGACAAAGTCATCAATATCCCCCGCAATGGCAAAATACTCTTCATGATTATGTCTACGAGTTATGATTATGTCAAATGGTGACATATATAGAAAGGTGTGTATATAGAAAAGTGGAAGGAGAGTATTGAAAGGTTTTGAAAGTTCTGCTCCAGAAAGAAGCACTATCACCAATTTCAGTGTAAGTCAAACTTGTTGCCATGGAAATGCCAAAAATATTTTATTCAGAATTCCAAAACAACCAAAAGGCACAAGTACACCACCAGATCTATCTATGTGCCAAGTTTGGTGAAGAAATATTGAATGGTTTTAGAGTTCTGTCTCGAAAAGAGCACAACCACCAATTTCAGTCTAAGTCAAACTTGTTGCCATGGAAACATAAAAACATTTTTATTCAGAATTCCAAAACTACCAAAAGGCACAAGTACACCACCAGATCTATCTATGTGCCAAGTTTGGTGAAGAAATAGTTAACAGTTTTAGAGTTCAGCTCCGGACAAAAAGCACTACCACAATTTCAGGCTAAGTGAAACTTGTTGCCATGGAAACGCCAAAAATATATTTTATTCAGAATTCCAAAACAACCAAAAAGGCACCAGTACACCACCAGATCTATCTATGTGCCAAGTTTGGTGAAGAAATATTAAACGGTTTTAGAGTTCTTCTCCTCGAAAAGAACACAACCACCAATTTCAGTCAAAGTCGAACTCGTTGCCATGGAAACGCCTAAAAAATATTTTATTCAGAATTCCAAAACTACCAAAAGGCACCAGTACACCACCAGATCTATCTATGTGCCAAGTTTGGTGGATGAAATAGTGAATGGTTTTAGAGTTCTGTCTCGGAAAGAGCACTACCACCAATTTCAGTCAAAGTCGACCTTTTGCCATGGAAATGCCAAAAATATTTAATTCAGAATTCCAAAACTACCAAAAGGCACCAGTACACCACCAGATCCATGTATGTGCCAAGTTTGGGAAGAAATATTGAACAGTTTTAGAGTTCTGTCCGAAAAGACAAATGTGCACGGACGGATCGGATCGGACGACGACGACGACGACGCATCGCGCACGCGACGACGGTTGGAGTCCATTTTAATACCCCATAAAAGCGCTAAGGGGATAAAAACATAACTGATATTCTAAAAACCTGCGGTTAAGTAACTATGGTAACAGCATGAAGGGTATTAGTACTATTACTTCTGAGCCTAGACATTTTTTTAAACTTGTTAAACAAATCTGCCATCTCCAAACACTATTGATGCGAAGATAGTAACAATAACATACAAAGCAGTTTGGTTTTCTGTCACTGGACAGAGGTGAGGTGAGGTGAAATTGGGTTTTACGTCATGCTTGAGAATATTTTGCTCATATGACGACGTCTGTCACTGGACAGAAATAAGGAAAATGTAGGAAACATATTGTTGCTAAAACTACAAATACAAAATCACAAATGTATATCTATAGTTACAACCAGTCACAGTATAACTTGCTAATTTTAAAACACCACAAATTACAGTGAATTGTGAGCAGAAACATAAATAAAACTCCTTGAAATTCAAATTTTGAAAATATTTTACAGCAACCAACTGGGATGAACTTTCAAGCCAAAACATCAAACAATAAAAAGTAGCCATAAAAATATTAAAAAGTACCTTGTGCTAAGAGGTGTACCAACAGCTTTCTTCTTTGAATTAGTTTTGGCAGCACCAATGTTCACTGGCCGACTGGATCTGTTTGTAGTGCCACCTAGTGGCTCATCAGGGGAGGTCACTGAGAGATCTGACATTGAGGCTTCTCTTGGATTTCTTTTTCTTCATAAATGACACTTCTTTCTCTTCAATTTCTGCAAAATCACATGTTTGGTGCAGATAATTCACACAAAATATTAGATTCTGGTTGGTCATCACCATGAAAACTTCCAGCATTTACATGATTTTAAAAATATTCAAATATTCAAACTCAAAGCGTATCCTGTCCATTGATCCTGCCAATTACAAAAGGGAATTTTTCACACATTTTTATAGTATTTGTTCATATCCTAGCCTGTCAAATGTTTGTTTGTTTATTGCTTATATAGGCACAATGTCACGCTTTTACGACAATATTTTGGCTTATATTATACATATTGGGGCATATGCACTCACTTTAGCTTCCTATTGATGCAATAAAAGACTTATTATCCCTTACGATTTGCCTGAAATTGATATTTGAAACTTCGAGGCGAACAGCTTCCAAACAGAGAACACTTGCCATATATGGAATGTAAACAATTGCTCCGTACATCGAAAACTGTCCCACGCAGTGTTGTCGGTGTTTGCCAAACTGGTTTCAATCACAAGTTGTGCATAGGATATTTGTAAAGAGAGCTCTAAGGGACATAACTCTATGGGGTTTGCTTGAAATAATGTTCGGCTGGTAGAAGGTGCGAGAGTCAATTTAATGCAACATTGCATTAATTCGTTCGAACTTTTTAATTTAATATTGTAATCTAAATATGTAAATAGTTTTTGAATAAATTATATGGTAGCTTCCCTCAAGGCTGATAGTAAGTATTATTGAGAGAAATGCATTATGTGTTTTCAGAGAAATGTGGTGTGACATTGTGCCTTTAACTTCGCACTCAGTGATATTCTGGTGGAGAGCTTAAGTGAATGAAATCGTAGTAGTTTGCAATATTGGCGATACCTGTCGCTGACAAGTCAGGAACATTATCAATCAATATGGAATTGAAACTAACAATCTCAGGTTTCTTTTTCATTTGTGTGTTGTAAAATGCCACTTAGCAACATATTCCTGCAGCAAGAAGGTGGTCTGTAAATACTCAAATCTGAACCAGACAATCCAGTGACTGAGTCCCATGGTGCCTCTTACAACAAGCATGGGTTGCTGAAGACCAATTTTAACCCAGATCTCCACTGAGCATCCTTCAATGGCAAAGGGACACAACTCTGCCATGTAAATTGCAGCACCTTAGACGACTCAGTTCCACTCACCTACTGGCTCTCTCCACGACATCAACTGTTTGACACGGTCAGAGCGACCTTGACACTTGGTCTTTGTAGTTTTACCACACGTGTTACACGACACTGCCTGCAATAGTTGAACAGGTACAGAAACTAACATCACAGGTGAACAAGCATTAGTTTTAGAATTGGAGAGACTAATTGTACCCATGTGGGGAAGCCACACATGCTGGCCTCATGGGCTTAACACCTGGCAGTATCATCATACTAATGCACCCAGATCCATCACAGAATGCACTTTAACATATTTCCGTCTACAAAATCTGGAATACATGTATGGTTTACATGCAAGACATAAAAACAGTTTACATTACTTGAATTGACTTTTTTTCATAATATTCAGGGGGCATTTTCTGATTATTTATAGATCCCCAAACCCTATGAATAGTGAGTGAGTGAGTAAGTCAGTGAGTCAGTGAGTATTGTTTTACGCCGCTTTTAGCAATATTCCAGCAACATCATGGCAGGGGACACCAGAAATGGGCTTCACACATTGTACCCATGTGGGGATTCGAACCCGGGTCTTCGGCATGACAGGCGAACGCTTTAACCACCAGGCTACCCCACCGCCCCCGAGTAAGTGAGTGAGTGAGTGAGTGAGACTTTACATCACAGTTTAGCAATGGCTAGTGTTCCAAACATGATTTTTAGGACTGAGCTGACATAATGTAAAAGTATTAACAATTATCATACAAGTAACTTAATTTCTGTAATATTTCTCAATAGAAAAGAATTGACATAAACTTATGTATCTACATTCAGTCAGTGAACATGACATTGCTGATTTTTAGATGCATGTGTGAATCAAAACTCAGAGTCTGCTTGAAAACAAAGTTCGCTGGTGCATGTGTTCTAACAGCTATTACATGAAAACAAACCCTTCCTGTGATACAGCAGAATAAAAATCAATTTTAAGTGAAAAAAAATCTTTCTAGTCTGTCTCGCAGTCTTGGTGTTACATTATTTTATTTTCCAGCCAGCCCTTACTACAACCCAAAAGCCTAAATAAAGCAAGTCTAGATTTTCCTCAGGTTGTGAATCTGCTACCCAGATAGCAAAGGTGTGTTGGGCCAATGTTGGTATATGGTTGGTTGGTTGGCCAACAGTTTGACAACATTGGCCCAACGTTATCTTAATGACTTAAAAGTAACGGTGGCTTTTGACACATTGGTCCAACAGTGGGCCAACATTTGAAAAACTCTGCCTATGTTCCCTGATCTTTCATCTATTTCACAAAGTTGGGCCACCGCTAGCCTAGCTAACATTGTGAATAAAGAGTGAGCACACGGCCATTTTAGCCATGTTTTCTTATAAAGATTTTGATGAAAGTTGAAATAATTACACAGACAAAAAAGAAAGAATCCATTTCCCTGTTTTTAACTATGATAAAGTGAATATTACAGCATTGTTTTCTCCAAATTGAATACCAAACTTGTCATCATTGATAGCTTTACCTGATATTCAAAGAGCAGTGACACTACATTTCTGGAGGCCTTCAACTGGTAAATATGCATTGTTATTTCTGTGATACTGAATTGCAAATATATTGTGAAATAATTAATTAAAATCATCATTTAGGCTAAAGAAAGTGACACATACCGTACTGAAAGGCAATTGATTGAGTAGATAAAAGATTTAATTGACTCTTTTCTGTAGGTAGCCTGTTTTAACCACTTTGATAATCTCATTTCATTTTAAATTATTTAAATTTATTGTGTTTACTTTATTAACATTATGTGTTTGTCAGTTACACCCTGTTTCCTTTTATACAACTCTCTCTATTATTCATCTTTACAACCAATAATTGCTAAACATCATCATATCAGATATATGTGTCACAGTTATAGTAGTTACACGTCATATCCAAATAAAACATTGTTTGAACAGCATTCTAGAAGTTGGTCAAAAATGAAACATACATCTCTATGGATAACAACTTCTTGTTTATAGTATAGAGCTTAACGCTTCGATGTAGATTCTTACAACCGCTATCAAGCTTAAAAGTGACTACAACCAAATGATGAGAAGTATATATACATGTACATAGTATGTTTTGTCAAATAAACATAATTGAGGCTGACCAGCTTGGGACTAAGAACAACAAATGGATCTAGTGATGAAACCAATTAACAAAGGCAGGGTGGGGTGTTAGGTTGTAACAACCTGATAGGGTGTTTGATAGAGTCTATAGTTTGATTAGTTCTTCATATCCCAATGGTATGTAGTATCCTTGGTCTCTATTGATCAAAGGTTTGTGGCTGGCTGATTTTGATGGCTTCCAAAAGTTTTCTTTTGTGCAGTCCTGATTCTTGGTGGATAAGAGATTTGAATTTGTCAAACCAGCCCCTAAAACTAAGTTAGGGCCATCTCAACCCTGATCAAACACGCTTTAAGAACATTGCTCCAGCAGCCATGACCTAGAACATGAGCGGAACCACCTACAACATGTCTTCACGAGCCTCAACCAGCAACTCACCAACTCATAGTCTGTTTGATTTCACTTGAGACCCATGAATTGCCTACTAACACAAAATCAAATAATTGCAACAAAACCAAATTTTGCAGTCACATGAAAACGACAGACCAATGAAGAACTAATCAAACTATAGACTCTATCAAAGCACCCTATCAGCTTGTTGTTACAACTGAATCCCCTCCCCTGTTTATTGGCTTCATCACCATTCCATTTGTTGTTCTTAGTCCCATCTGGCCTCTCCCAATAATGTACCAGTTGTTATTCAATTACATGTTGTTGTTAATGTCAATCTGTTGATTGTCAAAACATACCACGATATATCCTTCTCATCATTTGGTTTTAGCTTGGTAACAGAGTAAGAATCTACATCCGGACGCTTTCAATCATTAAGTTGTACATGGTATGTTTCAAATAAAACATAAGGCCAAATACTATGTCCTTTTACGACAGATATCCGACAGTATCATGAAATTTTGGGTTGTTTTTTTCAGGAGCAGTTCGAAAAACTGTCAGCGCGCACATCCAAAAGACCTAAAACAAGAATATTTTCAAGAAATACAATAATGTTCAAATAACAATGAAAAAAAAAAGAATTAAATAGTTCACTTGATTAACTTGTTGTGTTGTTTATATATGTTTCTGATTGCAGAGGTCAGGAAAGAGCTAAATGTTGAAATACAGTTTGTGCCAACATAAGGCCAACTAAATCACATCCTTTGGGCCAAGTATGGGCCATGGTTTAGTACAAAGGTCAAGAAAGAGCTAAATGTTGAAACACGGTGGTGCCAACATAAGGCCAACCAAATCACTACGTTGGGCCAACTATGGGCAATAGTTTTGTGTGAATTTTCATCTCGCTGGCCCAACAATTAGCCAACATGATGGGCCACTGTGGAGCCGATGAGCATATCCAAGTGGGCCCATCGTCAGTTTGACAACAATGGGCCAACCAAACCGTTGATTATGGGCCAACTATGGGCCAACATATCAATGCTATCTGGGTAGTGCTACCTCACTAGGGCTCTAGTTATTAGTGGGCGTGGGGTAGCCTCTAGCCACAAAAGCTGCTATTCTGCGTCGCGAAGACCGGTTCGAATCCCCACATGGGTACATTGTGTGAAGCCTATTTCTGGTGTCCCCCGCCGTGACGTTGCTGGAATATTGCTAAAAGCGGCGTAAAACCAAACTCAGTCAGTCAGTCAGTCTAGTTATTAGTGTTGGGAAACTAGTTATTAGTGTTGGGAAACAGAAACCAAATCGACTATCGATTATCGGAGGATTGTGGTGAACGATTATCGATTATAATCGAAATATATACATTTTTAATGTAATCACCACTTTTAAGGGGTTTTCCCCTGATTTTTTTCTTATTAATGTTTTTTTTTATATAACTAATACTGTCATGCAATGAAATGCATGCATGCAAGAAAGACACTGGAAATGTAATTAAACAATAAAAGTGGTTAAAATATTACAATGTGCATAGCTTTACGCAGTTGAGCGCATGTTTGTTTGTGAATATTCGTCAAAATTGAAGGTTAGTTTACTTCATTCAAGGGTGTAATACAAAAAACACAAAATTCCGATTAATCGAAAATATGTTTATACAATTGATAATCATTTTTAATCCTTCTTTCGATCTATTTTCGATTATTTTTGATCATCGGAACATCACTACCTGATATATTTATAGGGTGTTCTTTGTTCCTAATACAATTATATACTAAACGTCAATCTGAACCTTTTCAAACGATACATTACAATCATGACAAAATTTGTAAAGTGTTCTTTTCTTGGGGTTTCCATTTTGCTTAAGACAAACAAAATAATTTCTATGTTGATCACATTTTAAAATCCTGATTAGGATCTGCAGTCAAATATGATATGCAAGGTTCTATTTAGCAGTCCTGGATCTCAAACTAGGTCAGTATGTACATTAACAGTATGAACTGAAAGAAAGAGACGTTCAGGGCCCCGTTCCTCAAAGCGATCGTAACACTACGACAGTCGTAAGTCTATGTTAAAGTATGCGAGTTCGCGATCATCTTAATTCACGATAAGCGCGAGGAACAGGGCCCAGATGTCTTTGACAACAACAAAGTTGGGGAATGAAACCCATGTCTTTGGCATGATGCTTTAACCACCAGGCCACACGCCACTTGCATTGTTTGCTGTACTGTAATTTGTCAGTTGGCCATCAGGGCCTGCTGCCACCTGCAGGCTTTAAAATCAACAGGCCCTGAATGAAATCTGCCAGCCCATTTTGTTAAAGTCAAACCAATAAAAACAAAATAGACTACATAGTACACAGTTTCACAATGTTTCTACAAAATCAGTTAGCAAAGCCAATGTCGCAGAGAGAAGTTTTAACTTGTTAAAGACTGGTGTTGACATTCATATGTGCAAGCCGCTGAAATACCAGGAAGTGAAACTGTAAGTTATCGTAACATGATGGATCATGGATGATTCCCGAACATTAATAAAGAAATAAATTATGGGAAATGTTCCAGTTGAAAAAACCCCAGACAGATAATTTACTAAAGGCCACAAGGGACTGCAAATATGCACAGGACAAATTCAACCCCAGTCCCATGGGGAACTAACTCCCTACATACCAGGACGTTGCTGCTGTTGAGGTATCTCTTCACCATCTTCAGCTGGCACTTGTTGAGGGAAGGAGGTAACGAAGATAAAGAGGCGGAGGTCGACTGTAATGCATATCGATCCAACAATTTCTTCAGCTTCTTCGTCAGCGGCATCCTGGGAGCCAGTCGGACTTTATGGTTGTCAGTTGTGAATATTGTATAGCACAACTGACAGTGAGGGGCAGCAAGGGAGTCTGCAACAGTGAGAAGTTGATCTGTGAAGGCTAACAGGTGAGAGTTTCAAACATGCAAATACAGTTGTCAACACCACAACATGAGGCTTGTTACGCGAAAAACTGGCATCAAAGTATATCAGGTGGTCAGGCTCACTGACTGGGTTAACACATGTCATCGTATCCCAGTTGCGTAGATTGATACTCATGCTGTTGATCACTGGATTGTCTGGTTCAGACTTCGATTATTTACAGATCGCCGCCATATAGCTGGAATATTGCTGTGTGCGGCGTAAAACTAAACTCAATCAATCATGAAGAATTGTACTCTGTGAATATCACTTTTCACCCAGAACCTCAGCCTCGGTTTATTTTGGAAGCTTGACCATAGTGAATATTTTTATCACTGTCTTTTGTTGCTATAGTAACTGTTTCTGTATTATATTGACACATTATTTTGTAGTGCCATTGTTAATCCTTTGCAGTAATTAGCACAGATTTGTAAATGTTGTTTATTATAAAATACAGTTGTTAACAACATGACATTTCATTGTTGTGTGTTTTAAACCTGATTCTTTTGGGCCAAACAATCCAGTGAGTGACAGTATAAGCATCAATTCAAACAATCAGGATATAATGACATGCATTCTAGTGTTGGCAATTGGTTGAAATCTCACAAATGATGATTGCTTCATCCCCAACGAGCAATCATCGAAAATATTTGGTTAACGTCATTTTTCAGATTTTCTTGTTCAGGTTGTTATTGCAGATAAGTATAACATGATGCAACTTGCTACTCTAAAGTACTTCCGTGAATGAAGCGGCCTGTATATATCGGCGCGGGTAGGGGCTTTCCTGTGAGTAAAGCAATACCGCGCCCTGACAGATTAAACCACTCTGGTTGTTTTCGGCATTGCTATTGAGTGGCCTAAGAGACAACTGGCAGTTCCGGCAATTACTGATACGTCGCGAATAATTGATGTAGTGTAAACTGTCAATTCTGCGAAATTACCAGCGAAAAAGTATGTGTTTACAGTACTATATTGTTGTGTAAAACTGGCCCGTTATTGAGTGGTTGTCCATTCAGGCATTATACCTACAAATTATGGGATGTCAGGGTTGTCGGGAGTTTGTGGTCGAGGAACTTACCAACTAACAGTATATGGCAACCATCTATCTCACCGTTTAGGACACCCTGAGGTGAAGGTGAAGTGGGACAACGTTGTGCTTGAGAATATTTGGCTCATATGATAGCGATGCGTACTTACTGTGATAATGTGTATGTCGACTGTACTAGCCCAGACTTAAGCTGGAACATAGTGCTAGCTCTTTGAGATACCGTAAGCAGTGAAGCATGAATACCCTCAGACACATTTACGCCGAGCGACCAGTCCTTGACTGTACCCATTTGTGCCGGCGTCAGGCAGGGACCAACAAAGTACCATATTTTAACATGTTTTTGGTTTGGCAGCGTCGTTGGGATGGAACCAGCGACCTTCCAGCTCTCGAGTGAGGCGGCTCTAACACTACACCCGCAGGAGTTTTAGGACCTGAAATGAATTATCACTTATTTGCTTAGCCATGTAGGAATCGAACCGCAGGGCTTTGTGGAATTATCACTTTAACCACTAGGCTACATAGCGTCAGTTAGATAACAACAACATAAAAGCGGCGTACAGGGAACTGTACAATATGTTATCATAGAGCATGTGTTATCAAGTACTACGTGCAACGTCCATAGTCACACGACTATCATAGTGTAAAAGTTCAACCCTTTACACTACTTGACTTTTCATGCACAGAATCAGTGCGCCAGCTGACCTATAATGAGGATTACGTCACAAGAGTTGGTAGCATACAAAATTCATGGCCATTTTAACTGACATCCTACGAGAGACCAAAGGGTCGTCAAACATACGTTAATTTGTGTATTAAAGTTGACAGGTTATAATCATCTGCACCGCCATCAAGGTATGTACCGACGAGGTCTTAGCACTATATGAAAGGTCCTTTATATACAGTACATACCTTTGATGGCAGCTTTAAAGCATTACAAGCAGTGCGAAATATTACTGGCCCGCTAGCCCCTGGCTAGTGAAAATCCAGTGGGGCAAGTAAATCTCCACAATCACTGGCCCGACTGGATAGTGAATCTTCTATGCGGGTCATTTTGAAAAATGTATCAGTCTCCGACTTGTTAAGTTATTATTAATCCACTTTAAAACATGCAAGATTATGGTCTTGATAAATAAATGTTCCACCGTATATTAACAGCTTCTATCGATAAACCCGCCGGATGCACCCATTCTCATCTATATTTGCAATCTGCTTAGTTTCTTACATCCAAATTTCGGGCTAGTGAATGATTTGTGGGCTAGTATTATAGGTATAGCTAGCCCGGACTGGCTAGGCAAAATTTGAAACTATTTCGCACACTGGTTACACCAGCCCCTGTGTGTACAGCTACGCATTCCTGTGTCAATGTGAATCGTGATATTGATAAGGCTCCATAGCTATCCCCCGGCCGATCACATAGTGTGGTCCTGACAAGACAAAACAAAGACATACATGCAGTATCTTGAATACTCAGGTTGGGTCTTTAACAGGTTTTCACCCAAAGTATTCAATTTCCTGGCTTGCATCTCCTTGGATTTTAGGTAGCACTTCCATCGTGTTTGTCATTTTTCTCCAAAACGTTTTTAATACGGAAGTTGTTTGCTAAGGTCCAGATCTGTTCGGTTACAGTCGTAAATCATCGGTATCTTCCGCTTCCCCACGCGTGGGTAAATAGTTCAGCGTGTGAAAGAACATTTTGATGAGAAAGGGTAGATTGACATCTAGTCTGAAATGAATATTACAGAAGAAAAAAGGTTCCTAGAGTAGTAATAAAACATGATAAAAATTACCCCATAGACTTTCTTCATTTTCAGAATGTGGTCATCTAGACTTGCCACATATTCTAGACTTGAATGGGCTGTATTGGGTTTATTTGCTTCAGGGTCTGTCTGTATGCCAACTAGGCTAGCTGAAGGGATGGCAGGAGATAACATGATCTTAACTTGATATAATTTATTTTTACCCACGAAACCTGATTACAAACCACTGTACAGTGATTGCATCCGCCATTTAGTGTGTTATATAGCGGATAAGTTGACATTAAGTCTTCTCATGGTCTGAGACTGGGACGACTCCGAAAGTCATAAAGACACGTAACCAGTGAAGCTTTCATGGAACAAGATACACTTCTATTTCATTTTAACATATTAACTGTGGGGTTGTGGTGGGTGATATAATGGAAGAGTGACACAGCATTGTAAAATTGGCTACCAGATGTAAAACGGCAGATTAAACAGATAGGGATTCCATTTTGTTACTCTGACCTTCGGGGAATATCTCTCTCTCTCTATATATATATATATATATATATATATATATATATATATATATATATAATATATATATATATATATATATATATAATATATATATATATATATATATATATATATCTCTCTGTTTTAAATATTCTTGTTTTGAGTTGGGCGGGTATCGTTGGTTAATACGTCAAAATCTCTTGCCGATAATATCCACCCATGGCATGCAGATTATCCGTTGGAATAGGTAACATGCTGAGGTAAATCCCGACAGCAGCATCAGCCAAAGGACTGACAGTACGTTTGAGTTCATGGCCTTGGTGTCGAAAATATCTTATGTATCAGGACGAACTATCTAATGACGAAACTGCAGGATTAAGACGTTCGCATCCAGTGCGGGTGCGCAACTTGCTTAAACAGTAGAACACGTGAGGGGCTTTGAAAGATACAGTTTGTGAGATCGAGACACCAGCCTTATTATATGGCAACCATCTATCTCACCGTTTGGGACACCTGAGGTGAGGAGAGGTGAAATTGGGTTTAACGTCGTACTTGAGAATATTTATTTCGCTCATATGACAACGTGCATGCATGTGTATGTGTATGTGCGGCTGCTTGTACTAGCCCAGACTGAAGCTGGTTTTATAGTGCTAGCCCACTGAGATACCATGCCGCAGTGAAGCATGAATACCCCACTCAGACACATTATACTGACTCCGAGCCAACCAGGCCTTGTTGTACCCATTAATGCCGAGCGCCAGGCAGGGACCAACAAGTACCATATTTTAACGTCTTTTGGTATGACGCGGTCGGGGATCGAACCTGCGACCTTCCGCTCTCCGGGCGGACGCTCTAACCACTACACCACGGAGGCGGTTTGGGACACCTGAAATAGGGTATCACTTGTTGTAGCCATGTAGGGAATCGAACCTGGGGCTTTGTGGAATTATCACTTTAACCACTAGGCTACATAACGTCAGTTGCGATAACAACATAAAAAGCGACGTACGGGGAACTGTACAATATGTTATCATAGAGCATGTGTTATCAAGTACTACGTGCAACGTCCATAGTCACACTATCAAAGTGTAAAAGTTCAACCTTTACACTACAGACTATGCATGCACAGAATCAGTGCGCTAGCTGACCTAGTAATGTGAGGATTACGTCACAAGACTTGGTAGTGATACAAAATTATACATATTTTAACTGACCTCCTACGAGACCAAAGGGTCAAACAAAATATATGTTAATTTGTGTACAGCCACAGGGGCTTGTAACGCTAAAAACTGCCATCAAGGTATGTACTGTCACTGACGAGGTCTTAGCACTATATGAAAGGTCCTTTTATATACAGTACATACCTTGATGGCAGTTTTTAGCATTACAAGCAGTGTGCGAAATAGCCACTGGCCCGCTAGCCCCTGGCTAGTGAAAATCCAGTGGGGCAAGTAAATCTCCACAATCACTGGCCCGACTGGATAGTGAATTTTCATGGGGTCATTTTGTAAATGTATCAGTCTCTCCGACTTGTTAAGTTATAATCCACTTTTAAAACATGCAAGATTATGGTCTGATAACAATATTCATCATATTAACAGCTTAATGATGGAACCCGTGTCATGCCGACAAAATCTTATTCTCATCTATATTTGCAATCTTTTGCTTAGTTTCTACATTCAAATTTCGGGCTAGTGAATGATTTGTGGGCTAGTAACTTTCAGGCATAGCTAGCCCGACTGGCTAGCAAAATTTGGAAACTATTTCGCACACTGGTTACAATTAGCCCCTGTGCGTACAGCTACGTATTCCTGTGTCAATGTGAATCGTGATATTGATAAGGCCCATAGCTATCCCCGGCCGATCACTGACGGGGTCATAGTGTGGTCCTGACAAGAGAAAACAAAGACATACATGCAGTATCTTGAATACTCAGGTTGGGTCTTTAACAGGTTTTCACCCAAAGTATTCAATTCCTGGCTTGCATCTCGCTAGTTTTGGGTAGCGCTTCCATCGTGTTTACTGTCATTTCTCAAAACACGTTTTTAACCCGGAAGTTGTTTGCTAAGGTCGGATCTGTTCGGTTACAGTCGTAAATCATCGGTATCTTCCGCTTCCCCGCGCGTGGGTATGGTGGTTCAGCGTGTGAAAGAACATTTTGACGAGAAAGGGTAGATTGACATCTAGTCTTTGAAATGAACAATTTACATATATTACAGAAGAAAAAAGGTTCCTAAAGTATATTAATAAAATATGATAAAAATAACCCCATATACTTTCTTCATTTTCAGAATGTGGTCATCTAGACTTGCCACATATTGTAGACTTTAATGGGCTGTATTGGGTTTATTTGCTTCAGGGTCGGTATGTCAGGCTAGCTGAAGGGATGGCTGGAGATAACATGATCTTAACTTGATATAATTTATTTTTACCCACGAAACCTGATTACAAACCACTGTACAGTGATTGCATCCGCCATTTAGTGTGTTATATAGCGGATAAGTTGACATTAAGTCTTCTCATGGTCTGATAGGTAGGAGACTGGGACGACTCAGAAAGTCATAAAGACACGTAGCAGGTGAAGCTTTCATGGAACAAGATACACTTCTATTTCATTTTAACATATTAACTGTGGGATTGTGGTGGGTGATATAATGGAAGAGTGACACTGCATTGTAAATTAGCTACCAGATGTAAAACGGAAAGATTAAACAGTTATGGGATTCCATTTTGTTACTCTGACTTTCGGGAACTCTCTCTCTCTCTCTCTCTCTCTCTCTCTCTCTCTCTCTCTCTCTCTCTCTCTCTCTCTCTCTCTCTCTCTCTCTCTCTCTCTCTCTCTCTCTCTCTCTCTCTCTCTCTCTCGTTATCGGGTTTCGCACCGTACGTTACGTTTGTTGGTTAATACGTCAAAATCTCCTGCCAAATAATCCACCCATGGCATGCAGATTATCCGTTAGAATAGGTAACATGCTAGTAAATCCCGACAGCAGCATCAGCCAAAGGACTGACAGTACGTTTAGGTTCATGGCCTTGGTGTCGAAAATATCTTATGTATCAGGACGAACTATCTAATGACGAAACTGCAGAGTTAAGACGTTCGCATCAGTGCGCAGGTGCGCAACACTCAAACAGTAGAACACGTGAGGGGCTTTGAAAAGATTAACAGCTCAATTAGCGGTACTCTATAGGACTGTTTGGAGAATGGATTACGTGATACTTCCAGGCAGGACGAAGGTGATATCAGAGACCATATTATATGGTCTCTGGTGATATACACTCGTGCTTTCCAACAGGTCAAGGACACTGCATATTTAAATATGAACTCCCGTAAACCGTGATGATAAAATATATAATAAAACATGTGATACGATACAGTACGAAAAAGTTTAATTGCTTTAAAGCATGTAGGTGCTGCATTTAATCATCATTTGATTACATTTTTTTCAGTTATTTAACAGTGGTGACACATGTGTATTGTTTTGTTATTAAGAAGCACTGAACTGTTGCATGTACTTGAGTGAACAAACTCGTGACAAGACCGAAATGTCCAATCACATAGGGCCAACGCCTATTTTTTATACAATAAACATCAATTACACACAAAAAACCCATCTTAAACCAATATCGTAACGCTACTATCATGACTGGCTATTTAAAAGAGAATCAATATATGTCTCTGTGAAGTGTTTTCACCCTCCACTACCAACAGGCTTTGACAACTGAAGCACGATTCAAATCACGCATGCGCTGGTCAAAGGTCACAGGCACTACAGGGTCGGTGCAGTATATGTGACTGTACCACTCATGCACTTTAAACAGTCCTTTCGCAATTATCATTTGATTGTCTGGTCAGTTGTCCTGATGTCAGACTGTATCAACGTGTGATGGCCCATGTCCGGGACACAATAACCGTGGGGTGTGTGGAGATTTCATGGGTGGGGGTGGGGATTTCATGATGATTTTATGGAGTAGCATGTACAATCTACGCTGTGACAGATGCCCCCCAACTAAAACCTAAAATATATGTACAAAGAACGTGACACATACACCCACCCCACCCTGCATATGATGTACAAAATCAATTACCCCGCTCCCCCTTCCCACATTTTTTTATTTTCCCCCACTTGTAATATTTATAGTCGTTTTATATTTTGGAAATAATTAATTTACCTAACTCTAATATTACGTTGTCATTAAAAAGATACCAAGTACATGTATTTCTTAGCTGGCTCATAAACAAATAACCCGTGAAGGTCCGGGTTAGAATTTTGATCTTCAGTAACCCATGCTTGTCGTAAGAGGCGACTAACGGGATCGGATGGTCAGGCTCGATGACTTGGTTGACACATGTCATCGGTTCCCAATTGCGCAGATCGATGCTCATGTTGTTGATCACTGGATTGTCTGGTCCAGACTCGATTATTTACAGACCGCCACCATATAGCTGGAATATTGCTGAGTGCGGCGTAAAACTAAACCCATTCACTCATAAACAAATAATTAGTATGTAGTGGACTCAGTAACTTGAATGCAAGCGACGCGAGGGAAAGTGCGTGGTTATTAATCATGTTAATTTCAATTTAATAACCTGCTCACGCATTTCTCTCAAAATATATTTTTAAAATTCCCTGTGGAATGAAACGGTCTTTCTACTGTGTTGGAAAATCAGAAAGGGTAAATGATCAAAGGTAGGGACCGACTCCCTTTGGAGCCCACAAACGTCATTTCCTTTATTGATCGATGTGGTTTTCTATTCCGCCAGTAGCTATACTGAGGTTCAGGGTTTTTCTTGTGTCATTCGAAAGAACCACGAAATCTGATGTCATTCAAAGTTAGCGTGTTGGAGACTTCAATGTTGCATTAAGCAAAAATGTTATGACAGAATAGTCACAGCTTTATTATATTTGATATATCTGGATAAACGCAGTTTTATATAATTTATTGTAAATACATGAAGGAATGAAACGACATCGTGCATATTACGGATATTGACAAACCAGAGATCATATGCCATTATACATATATAACTATACAACGGCACTGCGTCAAAACGGCACCTGGCTGGACGAAATCAGGCGAAACGTGAACCGCACCTACAAACATGTTTTATAGAATGTGCAGAATTCAACATAAGATACGTATGTCATATTTTAATGAACTTTTACATAAAAGCAATAAGTTTGCAATGTGGATATGTTCTTACACGCACCAGTTGATAACCGTTTCAACCACTTGTTCCACTTCTTCCATTCCAATTAGCTAGCACGCATGTAATGAAGATATAGTTTTCATAGATATAATTAGACACACTCGATAACCCAACAACAGTCTGACGTCAGAGAGCATTGATTCACCAATGTTTTCTTTTGTTACAAACTTTAAAACTTTACGTCGCACGACACTGTGACGTATATTGCTTAAAGTGTGTGGTGCTGAATTTAAAACGTATCCCATATGAAACACGTGTTATATTTGGGATTACACTTTCTCAGTAAAGTACAGATTCTAATATTTTTATTGGGTTGAGTCCCATCCGGGATTCGAACCCACAACCTCAGAGTCAGGCACATAATCGCCAGCACACAGTCTAAGTAAACTTAGGCTCAGTATTATTCGTTACACTGCAATATTCCAGTGTAACGAATAATACTGAGCCTAAGTTTACTTAAACTCCGCCAGCACACAAAGTCATTGTGTATTCACTATTCATAGGTATAATAGATACAATATCATAATGGGTATTAGAGAGTATGGAGTAAATGTGTGATTTGGGGTTTGTAGTTGAGAATGTATGTGGTAAGGAGTGATGAAAGTTTATTTGGTAAAAATAAAATTAATGTCTTATTGTTTGTTATTTTCTTTAGATGCATTGTGAGAATGTTGAGTGACTCCGTATTCACAACAATGTGTTTTCTTAATCAATTTGATAACATTGTTTGTGTGTGAGAAATCAATCCATGACCGATGTTAAATATTTTTGTTTTCCTCCTTCTTATGTTTATATGCATACGTGTACATGTATATGTTGCCGTTTTGTCCAGAAGAATGTCGGCGTTTTGGTGCGGTGCAATTTTAATCTGACCCCAACCTTCCACTCGCTAAGAGTGCTGGGGAAAGTAGTATCGCAATCCGACCTTGACCTTACGTTGGTAGCGGTGTACACATTTATGTTCCCGTGTGTGTTTACTTCTGAAAATGTCTTCTCTAACGGAAGATGTGGTCCGTCAGCGGTCAAAGTCAGGTCGGACGTGTTTAACATATTCTGGAAAGGTTTATGATGTCACCGACTTCGTCTCTAAACACCCAGGAGGCGTCGATGTTTTGGAGAAGCACGCGGGACAAGATGTGACAGAAGCGATGCACAGTTCGGAAACCCATAAACACTCCAGATATGCATTTACCATGTTAGACAAGTATTGTGTTGGAAAAGTTCAGAATACTTCGGTAAGATCTTTTGGTTACTTTGTTGTAATGTTTGATTTTGTGTTTTAAATGTATACTTATAATCCAACTTGTGAATAATCGTTGGTTTTCCAGTTATTTTGTAGATCGGATTAAGCTTTATATGACTCTTCCAATCCAAGTGTCTACCATGACAATTTGTGTCACAATTTAAGGGCCCAATTTAATTTGCTTCTGAAGTAACTGGCTGAAATCGTGTCAGAATCATTCCGTTAAATATGAATAAATAAATAATCCGCTTGAATATGAATAAGGGATAGCTTTCTCACCGAACACGTGAGTGCATGATTCAAGATAATTCATTGAATCACTTTGGTGTGGATTTCTTATACTAAGAATAGGCAACGTTTTCACAATAATTTCAACTTGGTTGGTTACACATTGCTACATTTTCAGAGAAAAGGGAAAAGTCACACAGTCTTAACGGCAATATTCAAGAGTCATTGTCATGATCATGTTCATTGTGTATATGTGCCATAGGAACTGTGGATGGGTGATTGTGCATGTATCATGTAAATAGTCAGAGCAACAGTGATGATGAGTTGGAAACTTAACCTGTGCTTTCCGACAAAATGCATATTTCGCACACTGGCCTGCCAGGCCATTTAGTGTTTGAAAGAGGAGTGATTTGACCCAAAGATATGGCAACCAGAAGGTGACTTTAGGGTTGCGCAATAATTTTTGTATGAATTTTGAAATTTGCCAGCAGTTTAGGAGGGATGAACTACAGGATGGTTTGATTGGTACTTGTTTAGTTTGATTTTTGTATGTTTTTGTATGTAACCACTAGTTGGTTATGTGGGATTATGTGCGACCATATTTTGATAATCCTAGCAAGTATGAATCTGCCCTATAACATAGCACAGAGCCTATAACACATTACTCATCTACTAAATCAAGCTTTATGGGCTCTATTAAGCTAACAATAGACAATAACCTGAACCACATGGCGACAATGTCTCAATTTGACTCAAGGCTGTAATTACCATGACCAGACCTGCAGTGAAATTAAGCGTCAGACCATGGAGACTAGCCGAGGTATTAAATTAATTAGGTAGGTCTACTGACAAGCTCGTTAACAATAATCAGCCTAAGACTGCTTACCACGATCATGATAGACTAATGGTTAGTCTCTGAATGTATATAATTTTGATAATAACAATTAAACCCATTTAGATTGTAAAGGACCCAGAGTGAGATGAGGAAATCTAGACTTGTTTCATTTAATGCATTAGCATTGCAGGGAGGACTGGGCAGGAGGGAAAGTAATGTGGTTCAGGGACTATGAGAGAGACTACTAATAGTACTATCCTGAGTGTAGGGTATCTTTGGAATTTGAGAACTTGATGAGTTTTCACTCATGTCAGAATCAGTTCACAAGAATATTGTGACAGACATGTAAGGACTCTCAGGGAATGCAGAACAGACTGCAAGTCACTGTGATTGCCTAATAGCATTAGCAATAGCATTGGTTTTCTGATCAACCTGATACACCCATGTCAGCTTTGATGGAAGAGAAGAATAAACCACAGAAGCTGTCTGTTCTGGACATAAGGGAACTGAAATGCACCCTTGAACTCCAATAAATATAAATGTGGTAGTTTTTCAGGGTTTTGATACGCATTAATGCCAGACATGCCAACTGATACAATCCGTTTGGAGAAGTTGGTTGATGATGATGGTTGGTGGTCAGAACGATGGAGGGTAGATAAAATTATCTGCCATTGAGTTTTCCTCAAAGGAAATAACCCTCAATGAAGATTGACATTTGTATGTATTATTAAATTCACTCTTGCCTCATTGTACTCAGAACAAGAAAGTCAGTCAGAAAATGATTTGGACCAAAACGTCCCAGTGGTTAGAAAATATTTGTTTATTTTAGCTAGTGTGCAAAATGTCATCAAAGTAATTGTACAGTTGGTAGTCCACAAGGAAATGTTACCATCCCATGTTACTTGAATCCATTATATCTTTACTTTTTGCATGTCTTATTGAACCACAGTATTTTTCCTTCCACCCAATCCTTTCTGCAGTGCAAAAGCTAGCAGCTGCAAGTAGATTTTCTGAGGTTCTGAATTTCACATCTCCCTTGGGCTCCTTTTCAATTTAAATGGGTTTATTTGTTACAGTCAAAATTATATTCATTCAGAGACTAATCTATATCCTACTTTACTTGACAACATTTGATCTGTAACAGGGACCTCTTGACCTTCGTGATTTTACGCGGTGTGTTGTTTTCTTAAGTCCTGAAATGATTTATCTGAATACACACAAGAAGCACATTGTTGTGTGAAGGACTCAGTGACACGTTCATGTCACATGATACTCTGGTGGGGAAACACCTATGAAGATCCAGGTCTTACGCAACTCATGCTTGTCATATGGGGCAACTGACAGGGCAGGGTCACATATCTTGGTTGATGCTTGTCATAGGATCCCCATTACATACGTCGATGCTTATCTCTGGATTGCCTCTTCCGACTCAGTAATTTAAGACTGCTTGGAGCAACAATAAAAAATAGGTGTGAAAAATAAGCCTCTATAGGTGTCTTAAGCTTTTATGTCTGCTTTTATTTGTATACAGATTTTGTGTACATGTAGGTCGTGGGTGTGGAGTAGTTGTAACCTTTCTTTTCTTCTTTTTGTCTTTTGACTGTCTCAGGAGATAACAAAATGAAAATAACATAACAAATTTGTTTTGGAACAAACTCACGCACCATGGGATTACACTTTCTCAGTAAAGTACAGATTCCAGTACTTTTGTTGGGATTCGAACCCACGCCTTCCGAGTCAGGCACCTAATCTCCAGCGCACAAAGTCACACACCTAACCAGCTCAGCCACTGCAGTTGCATTTGACCACTTTCTAAATGGCATTGTGATTTTATGCGCATCATGTTCGTAAATTCACAAATCTGACAATTTCTGACTTAGTTGATGTTGTAAGATACCATGCCATCAGTTTGTTTCTGTCACTATCTCCGGGGTGGAAATTGAGCTTAATGCCATGCCATGGCACGGTAAATATTGAAATTGCACAGGTGAAATATTTTCAGTGTGCCCTGGCAGCATGACTAAAAATACAACAGAATCCTAACTGTTTTGATAAGTGTACATTAATATTAATTTATGTCAATCAAAGAAGGTAAAAAGTTTTTTCATATGACAATAGTCTGTGATGACCAGTGTGCCGTTGTACAAAGCGATCTTAGCGCTAAGGTGACCGTAACTCCCATACTTTAACACTGACTTAAGGTAGTCTTAGCGCTAAGGTTGGTTTGAACAACGGCACCCAGGATGTATTGCAATTGTTTGCTTTATGATTGTATTATGGTGATAAGAATTTTATATGCCAACAGTATTGTTGATTGTAGTCATAACACTCATTAATGCCTATTATTGCAGTTGGATATAAATGAAACATAAATTATGCATCAGATAACCCATTTCTAAGAGTCAGATTTCCCACCTATGTGTTGATTAGCACGGATTATGGCAACTTATGATCGGAGTATTTCATTTTGTTTGAGTAGTGACAGAGGATCATGACCCAATTTGGCATTGTCAACAATACCGTAATCATTTCCGTTACATTGTGATATATATGTTTCAAGCCTTATCAGTTGCTATAGTTGGTTTCATGTACTATTGGACATATTGGAACAATCATAATGATACTGCTTTAGTTGATAGCTGTTACAATAGTGTTCCAATATCACGGAATACTATTGAAATACAATTACAGTAATAGTCAGTCAAAGCTATGTCATGAAATGTTTTTATATTATGAAATGAATGTGACAGATTGCCTTCACTCAGGATCGTCAAATTAAAAAAATGGGTGTGCTTTAACATTGAGTAGTATGTAATGAATGTAGTTTGTCTTTACCAAGGTATGTTCAAATTTGGGATAGAAAAAATATAGAGAATCATTAATGGTATAACGACACTATGACAACACAATCTGATACTTGTCTTGATATTTTGGGTACAGTATGCAGGGCTTGACATTCACCCAAATTCTCGAACAAAACCACAGTACCAGTAACTTTTAAAAATCACAAGGGACTCTTAATGTCAAATTCAGATTTGCACTTACTTTGTAGAATTTGATCTTTGTAGGGGGAAAGGTAAGCTTGGGGTCAGATTCTGTTATTTATAGCCTACCAGGAAATGATAGAGAATCTGCATAACTTGTTCTTGAGCGGTTTCTGTTATTGTTCATGTTTTTACATCAATATTTGTTGTAATGTAATGAATTGCATGTATTGCGAAACTGGAATTGTAAAGCAGTGATATTGTCGTAGCCTCGTAGGTGTCACAATATTGTTTTGTTATTACACTACTAATTTTATGAAGAAAAGTATCCATATGTAGTAAAATGTCCAATGGATTAGAAGGTTTATGATCCCAATCAAAAATATATTTCCGTCTAATCAGATGTTGAAATGTTGCTTTCATGTAGTAAAGCAAATATGTAATTACAGTGTGTATTTTATTATGCAGTTTTCGCGATTGAACTTCAAAAGTACTCGTCTTTAGACTACTCATTTAGTAAACATTAGGGGTCCTCAGATTACTAAACTAACTCGTCTCTGATAGTATATAATTTGGGTAGACTTGTATAACTACATTTAACATGTTTAATATGAAAAGGAACCCAGTGAAATAGGAAATTCAGAACCTGATAATGAGGAAAATTTAGACTTGCAATAGTTTCTGAAAAATTATGATTAGGATGGCATTAAACAATTACTTGAATTACACTTAAATTGAAAAGGAGCCTAGTGAGATAAGAAATTCAAAACCTGATCCTGAAGAAAATCTAGACTTGCCTCATTTACAGCTCTATCATTACAGTATGGGCTGGGCGGAAGGGAAAATGGCTCAAGCATAGATTTATGTCACAAGGTTTGATTGGCAGTCCAGCTGAGAGTAATGAGATCTTCATGTCAGGCAATGAGGTTATACATAGATATATTC